TCGGAAGCGTAAATTTCACAGATTTTGTCCAGCGCGCAGCGACTGTAATAATATGGCTCACGAAATTCTGTCTTGCTACAAGTTACAAGATGTATTCAGTTAGTTCAAAGACAAAATATGGAAACTTCAGCTGAAATATTTTTCATACCAGCGTGATCGGAGGAGACCGACGTTAATTTGCATATAAAAAACTTACCATTTTGTACTAAAGAATTCTTAAAATACAGGCGTTAATCGGGCCAAAAAAGCATATCAGTGCATAGTTTATAAACCAACAAAGTCACCGATTGCCTCAAACCCGCGGGTATATCTGTAGCTTCCATCCACCAATATCTTAAAAACAACGCAAATCCATGTACTTACTCACCTACGATCATGTCAAAGACATTTGCATAATTCTGAACATTGACCAAGATCTCCTTTTGACCGTTCAAAATTTGTTTTTTTATCTTCTACGTTGCGGATTTTAGGTTTTGATAACAATTGAATGGAGAATGGATGCCGAGTTGTCCTCGAACGTTGCGTAAACGTGATCAGTCGTAACGCTTGCGCGCTTGCGTGACTTACAAAGCAAACAGAGGTGATCAGAAGGCGCCTCCTCGATAATTTTCGTTGAAATATCAGGTCATGAACTACGCACAGTGTGGAGAAGATCGAAATTAAAGCATAAAATTTGGCACACCGGTCATTAAAGACATATCGCGTTGCTTAAAAGGACACATAAACACGTTAAAAATGTATATAAACTCTGAAGGAGTTCTGGCAGTTTCTTCCGAGATTTAGCACACTTAACGCAATGGACGAGCCCTCCTTTCAGCCAATCTGTTTTCATCACTAATGGTTTTACGCTGTTATGGACCACAACGGTTTTGAACGACAAACCCAAAACTTCCTTGCGAGCATCCAAATCTACTGGATAAACCCAGCTTAATGTATTGCGTGACGTGCTGTGCAAATTTTTCGCTTGTCATATGACCTGTTCCGCGGGTTCTAAAAGTGAAACCGAAATTAGTTAATGTAACGAATTAGAATCGAAAGTCATTATAGTGGACTGATGAATTTTACATTTTCAAAGTGAAACACAGCAAAACCTTAGCCTAATTTTCTATTTTCCAGCCAAGTTCGATAGCTACTGTTGGCTTGAAAACCCCCAAAAATATAGTAAAAAAAACGAATAATCTAGAACAATGTGCCAAGTCAGATGACGTCACCGAATCCAAACAGTTCAATTTGCATATGCATCCCATAATATTAACAGCATCTTAGAGACGACAC